GTTGTTTCCATAGCTTAGCTATTGTGAATTGAGCTACTATGAACATTGATTTGGCTGCATCAATGTAGTATGGTGATTTTAAGTCCTGTGGGTATAAACTGAGGAATGGGCAAACTGGTCAAGTGGTGTTTCAATTCCAAGTTAAGCATTTGATGTATTGAGTTTTTCATTCAGCTCATATTTATCACCTTACATATGTCAATTGCTGTTTGGGGAACAGGCAGATAAGACCCCTTGCTCATGCAAAAATTACATCCCAACAAGAGGGGGGGGGAGAATAGATAATAAGCAAGGACACACTTAAGTAAGATAGATTGAAATTGTAGTGAATACTATGAAGACAAGAAATTAGAATAATGGGAAATTTGATAAAAACAGGACCAGTTTGTTTATTTAATAATAGTCCAAATAATTGGTTTACTCAAAAATCTTTCAAAAACAGAAGTGGCAAAATTAGAAACATATTTTAGAAAGATAACTTAGCAACAGTTTGTAGGCAGGGTGAGGGAAGGGGCCAGAGGTCGTTGAGTCCCCATTGCAATCCAGATAACTTGATCATGGGTGGTGGCAGTGGGGATGAAAAGGCAGGGACAGTGGTCAAACCCTCTCTGAGGACTCAAGTCTACTGCTCCATTACCCTAAACATTGGGTCTGATTCCAGGAAGAGGAAAATTATTCTCAGGAAAAACAAATATTGGCAAACAAATTGGCAGCCTCAGAGTACTGTACATAAGAATCTGGCTCTAGAAGCTGCCTGAAACTGCATTGATCACCAGTGCTGTTGCCTCAGCACTGGTGATCAATGCAATGAGGGCACTATAAGTTGGGCAACACAACTTCTAGGTGGGGGACATCCAGCCTCTAGTAACCCAGCTTTCCCCCTATTTTTTTTGTGCACACAGACTCCCAGGTGGCCCAGTCCAGGCTCTAGGAGAGTGTGGACATCCATGTTTGGCCAGAATTGCTCTTAGCTTGGAAAAATCATTTGTCAAATTTTCTCCCCCACTGAAAAAGAAATTGATGATATAGAAGTCACAACTTATGCACAGGAAATGTATACAGGAAGGAAAATGTCTTAAAAATGAAACTGATTTTCTTATATCCATGATAATGGAGAACAATAGCAATTCTTTTCTTTTTTTTTTTCTCCCCAGGCATTCATCTTCTTTTTGCTTTTGCCTCTCTTCTCCTTCAAGCTAACATTGCCAGAAATAAATGGAACAAATGAAGCCCAATCATACACTGTCAGAGCTCAGTCCCTGTTCTACCCACCCTAAAGTTATATTTAGACACATGTTTCAAGAGCCACTCAGCCTCTACATGGAGCTGGGCTATCATATACCAAGTACTTGAGACAATTTTGTCTCTGGAAAATGGTGTTTCATGTGTCTCTAGGTTTCACTGGCCCATAAGCAGGCAATATTCAGATGTCACTCACCTCTGTTCCCACCTTTATGTTACAGGACCTCGACCGCTTGAAGCTTTCCTCCAGTCTATTGGGAGAAACCTAGCAGTTTCATGTACTCTAAAATAGTCCTTGCCAGTTCTTTGACTGCTACCCTGCCTAATGGAGGCCTGACGCATACATAGCCATTTGAGGGCAGCTTTTTGACCCCACTCCAGCTACTGATGTATACTTCTGGCTATGGGAACATGGAAGCCCTTGCTGGAAGTGGGGGGGATGTGAATTAATTCTGGGGCACTCACAGCTACATAGTAAGGAGAGGCCTAAATGGTGCCACTCTCCCTTTGGCAGCTTTGGCTGAAGGCACTGATAAATTTACCCAGAGGGTGAGAATGCACTTTTTAGTTGTGTGTCACACTTTTTGCCTGGACACTGAAACAACAATGTTTCTACTATGTGTCTTGGCAAGGCCCCTGTCAAAACAACAACAGCCCTGAAAAGTAGGTGGTCTCATTAATATTAGTTCACAGCCCAGGAATCTGAGGCTCAGGGAAGTTAAATAATTGGCTCAGGGCTACCGAGCTAAGAAGCAGCAGACTTCAGATTTGAACACAGGAATTGTGACCCTAGAGCCTCACATACACAAAGTGCTCCAGTATATGGGCAGTTTTATTATTCGGAGACAGTTGGTCCATGTGAAGACTTGCTGAACAAATTTTTCACCAAACAGTGGCCAGCATTTGAAGCTCATAAAGTTGGAGGTCTGAGTAAAAATGGCCCTGATTTCCCCCACTCCTTACCCAATTGAGATCCAGATATGAATGCTCCTGGAGGTACTTGGGGGAAAGTCTTCTATATTCAAAGAAAAAATCAATAATTGTGGAGTGCTATTAAGCTCAGGATGTTCTGCCTATGGTTTAGCTGTAGGTTCAAAGTAGAGCAGTTTCTGTTCTAAGCTTTGGTCTGAGAAGGAAACTGAGATTCTCCCTTGAGCATTTTCCAGTTGAGAAGAAATAAATCTTGAACCCAGGAATCTGCAAGTGCAAGGGACTTTTATGGTTACACCAAAAGCTGGGTCCTCTTTCTCAGTACTTATTTCTCCTCTTTTCTACTTTTCCTTTAGGAAAAGGGAGACATGAATAAAGAAGAAAGGTGATTAATTGTTTAGATACTCCATAACCCTACCTTCAGCACCATACTTCTTCCTTGGAAGGTAGTTCTGGCTCCAACATTGGAGGAGAATACATACACTAAAAAAGCATGGGCACTTCTGGTTTCCGTTATTTGATAGAAATAATCTAGAGTGGTTTTTCCCCTTATAAACTCAAAAAATGCTGGATAAAGTTTGGGAAAAAGAAATAAAGAAAAGACATTCTCCATGGTAAAAACCAAATGTTGATCCTAATGGTATACCAATAAGTTCTTGACCTCTCTAGGGTTGCTGTGGTGGAGTCAGAAGAAATCTGGGCCAGCTGTAAAATGAATACTTACACAGTGCCTGTGGAGCAAAACTGAACCTCTAATTCTACATACCTGCTCAACTACCACTCAAGAGTCAGTACAAAAGAAAGATATTTTCTTTTTTTTTTAATAGCAATTATAGAATGCTGCATGAATTTGTATGTCACCCATAATGGTTTGCATATTAGTTGTCCCTGAAAAGCTCACGTGGCAATGTAGGAATACTCAGAGGTGAAATGATTATATCATAAGACTTATAACCTAATCAATAGATTAACCTATTTGATTGATTAATAATTTGAATGGATTACTGGGTGGTACCTGTAGGCAGGTGGGGTGTGACTGGAGGAAGTAGGTCATGGAGGGCATGGCCTTGGAAATTATATCTTGTCTCTAATCTCCTTGGGTTCATATTCATTGTCTCTGTCTGTCTCTCTGTCTCTCTCTCATACTGTCTCCTGGGTGCCATGAGCTGAGCAGCTTTCCTCTGCTACAACATACTCCCAAGATGTTCTGCCTCATCCCAGGCCCAAAACAATGGAATCAGCCAACCATGAACTGAGACCTCTGAAACTGTGAGTCCAAAATAAACTTTTCTTCTGCTAAGGTGGATCTTGTCAGGTATTTTTGTCACAGTGATAAATAGCTGACTAACATATCATCTTTGTGCAGGATCATGCTAATCTCCTCTGTGTAATTCCAATCTTAGTGTCCATGCTGCTGAAGCTAGTACAGAACAAAGATGTTTTCTGACAAAGAAATAGATAATTCACCATTCTTAGAAAAGGTGTGGCTCTTAGAGCTAGGCTGGACCTGGGGAAGCTGGCAAGATTGAAAAAAAAGCCCCCATCCTATGACAATCTTTGCTGAGAATTTCACTTATCTAAATACTGACATAAAAGTGACTATTGAATACATTGGCCTTTGCTTTTCCTCAATTTCCTCTAATATGTTCTAAATTTTTTTGTAACAGCTTTATCAAAATATATTCCACATGCCATATAATTCACCCAATTAAAGTGTATAATTCAGTGTCTTATAGTGTATTCACAATTTGGGTAATGACCACCACAATTTAATTTTAGAACATTTTCACCATTCCACAAAGAAACTCCATAGCCAGTAAATAGTCACTTCTCACTTTCCTCTCCCCACAGTCCCTGGGAATCATTAATCTACTTTCTGTCTCTCTAGGTTTAACTCTTATGGTCATTTCACACAAATGATGTCCTATATTATATAATCTTTTGTGACTGGCTTCTTTCACTTAGCATAATTTTACAATTATGCTATATTTTTTAATTATGCATAATTTTTCAATTATGTGTTATAGTATATGTTTGCACCTGATTTCTTTTTCTAGCTGAATAATATTCCTTTGTATGTATACTCTGCAGTTTCTTATTTTTTTTTACTTTTTTTTTTTTTAAAAAAATAGTGTCTTGTGGGTGTACATGATGGTGAGATTCACTGTGGTATATTCATATATGTACATAGAAAAGTTAGGTCAGATTCATTCCACTTTTTTTCCCTATCCCATCCCACCACCTTTCGTTTCATTCCCTTTTGTCTACTCCACTGATCTTACTTCTATTCTTTTTTCTTATCCCCCCCCCATTTTAGATTAGCTTCTGCATTTTGTTTTTACATTCTTCAGTTAATTGACATTTGTGTTGTTTCTATCTTTTCATTATTATGAATAGTGCTGCTATGAACATTTATGTAGAAGTTTTTATTAAACACATACCTAGTAGTAGAATTGCTGGAGTATGTGATAATGCACTATTTGCATAATTGCCAAACTTTTTTCCAAAATGGCTGGACCATTTTTCTTCCTACAGTGTATGAATATTCCAAGATCTTTATCTCCTGGTCAACACTCCTTAGTGTTTGATTTTTCGATTGTCACTATTTTTGTGAGTATGAAGTAGTATTTCAGTATGATTTGAATTCATGTTTTCTCATGGATGATGTTGATCTTCCCTCTAGTATACTTTAATTATAAACTCAACCATCCTGTAATATAGTACCATGAATACTGTTGGAAGACTCTGGAAAAAATGCTGGAAATATGCTCCTCTTGTTTTCCAGCCCTCCCAAACTGTGCTATTCTCTTAACCTTTTCAGGATCAGGTGCAGGAGTTTAGAAACACAGATTCTCCCCACTGTCTGAGACCTGCAGCAGCTTTCTTTCAACTGCTGTCATTTGCAACAATAATTGCCTCAGAACGAAGGTGAGTGTGGGCTTGTATTTTGGGATTTGCTGAAGGTCCAGAAACCCTAGACCCAAATAGAATTCACAGGGAAATGTGGTTGCTGTCTTGCAGATTCTTTCTCCTTTTGTCAAGACCTAAAATAACCTAAACAAATAATTCATTGCTGTTGCAATGACTCATTGGGCTAGGACCCTTTCTTCTTCTGACACCACTCAGAGTTTCCCCATAACCTGACCACCAGAAGTTAACTACCTCTATCCTGAGAGGGAGAGACAAAGCAAGAGAGTGAAAAGAGGAGAAGGGGAGGAGAAGAAAATAAAATGAAAATCTGGGTTCCAATTCCAGCTATGCCTGTAACAACTTTGTGACTTTGAGGAAGTCACTTGGCCATTCTAGGCCTCAGTTACATCATCTTTGCTACAGTTAGATTCTCATTAGGGAGACAGACTAGGTGATAATTGCCATTCTATTTAGACATGCTCTGAATGTGGGGAGGGATTTAAGTGGCCTGGGGAGAAGACTGCTGGGGCCAAAGTCCAGTCTGAGCCATTGCTAGAGGGCAGCATTGTATCAATAATTACTCTAATAATGCTGGTTGGGTGTAGTCATCTCAGCATAATTTAAAACTGTAGTTTCTTAAATGACATTCTTCTGAAGGGAAGATAGTTTTGGAAAAAGTATAGACAATCCAGAGGGAGAAGGATGTTTCTTACCCCTAATTTGTTGTTCGTTAGCAAATTCAAGACAGAAAAGAATTAGCTTTTCTATTTATTATCAAGCCTGTTTGCTTTAGGTCTCCTTTGGATACAGCTACACAGACACGTTTTCGTCTTTGGAAATACCACCAGGACTACCAGGGAAAGGTTCATATACATTTGAAACCTCTTCCAGAGGTTTGAATCACAAATTTGGTGACAGAATTTCTTACCAAAATAATAATTATTTTTATTTATTATATTTAATATTTATTAATATTTAGGTCCAGCCTAGTCTCTTCCTTCTTGACTTACGCTTATTACACTTATTATGGGATACTTTAAGATATGAATATATTAGAAAGAATCATCTGGAAGTTTCCATATTAAATATTTTGGTTCTCTATATTTCATAGTGTTTGGGTAAGTTTCTGCATGTCAATGTGACATCTCAAGTCAACCCAGAGTGAGGACAACAAATATATATGGCTAAAATCTATTCAAAACTAATATTTCTGAAGTTCTCTCTTTGGCTATTGCACATTCTTTAGTCCCTTATGAAGTTGTGCTCCTCCTGCAATCTCAATATGTACATGGGCTATTTCTAGGACAGGCAGGGGATGCATCACGTGTGACTTTTACATAAAGACAGGTCTCTTATTGCTCATAAAATAAAAAAAAATAAATTGCACACAAGAAAATAAATTGCACACAAAATAAATTGCAACTATCAAGAAGGGGTATACATTTCTACTTACATGTATATTCCAATTACTGGTAGTGGCTGCTTAGTGTATTGGTGAGAAAGATTATTAGGTCACATTTAGGATATATAAGAGAGAGGATAAGTTAGCAATTACAGAGTTCCCAACTTGGAATGTCTGGACTTATGACTTTCAACTTTATAAAACTCATATTCAATTCATATGAATTAAGTAAAAACTATACTTTCAATTTTGAATTTGGAACTTTTCTCAAGATAGTATATGTGTATTATACTCTATCATGATGTTGGACAGTGGCAGTGAACCCCAGCTCCCAGTCAGCCATGCAATCATAAGGGAAAACTTTGACACTCTAAAGTGTACTGTGTTGATGAGCTATAATGCTTGGTAGGTTAGGCATATTAATGCACTTTCAACTGACAATCTTTTCAACTTATGATGACTTTATTGGGATGTAACCTTATTGTAAATCAAAGGACATCTGAAATTAGTAATCTGTTAAGAAGAGGGATGTAGATACACAAATTGAGAAAATTGTCATCTGTAAGGTAAAGTTATGCAAATGGCTTTAATTTATTAATAATGAAAATAAGGAAAATAATTTAAAAATCAAACTGGAAAATTACTTAAAGAAAACTGAGATATCTCCAAAGATCTAGAATATGGCTTTCCCTGGAGGGCAGTGTAAGTGGTCCTCAAACATTCCTAGAATCAGGGACTTGAATGCCACCATTATCCTTATTTTGTTTTTTAAATATTTTTAGTTGTAGATGGACACAATATCTTTATCTTATTTATTTATTTTATGTGGTGCTGAGAATTGAACCCAGTGCCTCACATATGTTAGGCAAGTACTCTACCCCTAAGCCCCAGCCCCAGCCCCAGTATTTTTTTTTTTTAAATTTCCACTTCTCTTCTCTGCATCTCTGTTTACATTGACTTACTTCTTTCTCACAACAAGGTGAATTTTTCCACACAATGGACAATTTGGCTCTCTAAACCTGTGCTGTCCAATATGGTAGCCACCGGTCACATGTGGCTATTGAGTGCTTGAAATGTGAATAGGCCAATGGAGATGTACTGGCTGTAAGTGGAAAACATGCTCTGGATTTTGAAGACTGAATACAGTAGGGAAAACCAGAAAATGTCTCATTAAGAAAACATTGATAACATGTTACATGTTACATCAATAATATATTGGATGTACTGAGCTAAGAAAAACATAATTATTAAAATTAATTTCACATGTTTCTTTTTGAATGTGGCAATTAGAAAACTTAAAATCATGTACTTTGTTCACATTATGTTTCTCTCAGATAGCACTGATGTACAGCAATACAACTTTACAGCTACTTGGAGAGTGATTGTATTTTCTTTGATCAAATCCTAAAAAGTGAGAGAAAAGGGCCTTATTGGTGAAGCTGATCCAAATGCATAGCTAGAGAACCTTCCTATGTGGCCCATGATGTAGGGCCATATGAGTATGTAGCAGCTTCTGCTGGGACATAAAATTGGGGTGGGCAGAGAGACAATGCCAAGAAGAATAGAGGAGACTCCTGGATAGATAAAACAGTAGGTATCCTCCAACCTGGAAATATGTTAAATGCCTTTTCTTTACCCTCAAGCCTCCATGGCCAATTATATATCAAGTTCCATTGATTTTACCTTCATCTACTTTTCTTAATGTATATATCACTCTGTTAGTTCTGTGACTGTTATCTTAGCTAGGGATAAGGCAGTCACTGGCAAGTCACATTTATTTATTTATTTTTATTTTATTTTATTTTTTATTAGTTACACATGATAGTACAATGATCTTGACAATTGATACATTTGAATCAAATGGGGTATAATTTCTCATTTTTCTGATTGTACAGGTTGCAGAATCACATTGGTAGTACAGTCACCTATATACATACAGCAATAATAATGTCTATTTTATTCTGCTGCCCTTTCTATCCCCCCTTCCCCTCCCCTCCCCTCCCATCATCTCTCTCTACCCAATCTAATGTGACACACTTTTTTCTCTTTTTCTCATCACAACATCATACATTTATTCTGTATAACAATGAGGCTCTCCTTCCATCTTCTGTGCAACTCCCCTTCTCCCTCCTATTCCCTATTTAGTGGTAATCTTCTTCTCGTGCTCTTCCTCCCTATCCCATTTTGAGTCACCCCCCTTATATCAGAGAAGACATTCGGCATTTGATTTTTAGGGATTGGCTAACTTCACTTAGCATAATCTACTCTAATGCCATCCATTTCTCTGCAAATGCTATGATCTTGTTATTTTTTAGTGTTGAGTAATATTCCATTGTGTATAAATGCCACATTTTAAAAAATCCATTCATCTATTGAAGGGCATCTAGGTTGGTTCCACAGTCTAGCTATTGTGAATTGTGCTGCTATAAACATTGATGTGGTTGTGTCCCTGTAGTATGCTCTTTTTAGGTCTTTTGGGTATAGCTGGGTCAAATGGTTGTTCCATTCTCAGCTTTCCAAGGAATCTCCACACTGCTTTCCAAATTGGCTGCACCAATTTGCAGTCCCACCAACAATGTATAAGTGTACCTCCCCCCACCATCCTCGCCAGCATTTGTTGTTGTTTGACTTCATAATGGCTGCCATTCTTATTGGAGTGAGATGGTATCTTAGAGTAGTTTTAATTTGCATTTCTATGATTGCTAGAGATGGTGAACATTTTTTCATGCATTTGTTGATTGATTGTATATCCTCTTCTGAGAAGTGTCTGTTCAGGTCCTTGGCCCATTTGTTGATTGGGTTTTTTTTTTTAACTTTTTGAGTTCTTTGCATATCCTAGAGATTAGAGCTCTACGTGATGTTTGAGGGGTAAAAATTTGTTCCCAGGATGTAGGCTCCCTATTCACCTCACATATTATTTCTCTTGCTGAGAAAAAAACTTTTTAGTTCGAATTCGTCCCATTTTTTGATTCTTGGTTTTAACTCTTGTGCTATAGGTGTCTTATTAAGGAATTTAGGGCCTGCCCCCACATGATGGAGATTAAGGAAGTAACATTTAAATAAACTTAATATTCAGCTCAATGACTTTCTCCCCATAAGGTAGGCATTTGGGAAAATATCCCCTTATTTCCAAGCAAAGTGGTCCAACTTACATCTAGATTGTGCCACTCATCTGAATTTGACCAGGGATAAAGATGCTTAGCTGCTTTGGGAGTCAGTATTTACATCTCTAAATTGGGAAAAGCATGAACCCTGCTTTCCAGACTCATTGGTGATACTTGTGGAAAAGTTGTCAATGAGGATCCTTTAAAATGCAAAGTATTATTGACCTATCTCTTGACCTCCAGCCAGGTGTTGCAAAGTAGAAGTACCAAGAAATCTGTGTCTTCTCTAATGTTTTTGATCCAGACTTCACTTTTGTAAATATGGTTATATTCAAGAACTCTGAAATGATAATGATATTCATAGTTTTCTTTTGCAGTTTTGATCACATCTTCTCCCTCCATTTTATCCTTCCCTGATATTTCTAAATTATACTTTACTTCCCACTCTGAATCCAAGAATTTTATCCACCTTCTAAGATGTGAATTTATATTTTGTTTTCACTTATACTCCAACAGATTTGGAGAAAAATGGACAAATGGCAGTTCAATTTACTCCAGCAGCTAGATATTTCAGAAGCAAGCAATTCAATGCAAACCACTGGTTAATTGCAAAATTATCAGTTAGCTGTTTTAAACTCTAAAACCAGTTATTTGACATATCACCAACTTCTTTCCTCAGAAATCCTTTGGAACTCTAGACCTAACTTTAGATGGAGGTAAAAGTGCTATTTTATTTCATACATCCATGCTGTCTGATAAAATTGTCTGATTCCTCACCTCAATTCAAGTACTTTTTTCCCAGGACCTCTGATTAGAAAATCCCCATCTACCTTAAAATTATCAAAATATGTGATCTTTGATACGCACCCTAGAATCTATAAGAAACTTCTGGAGATGGTTTAAGCAAAAGGTGTAGGCTTTACCTGAATGGGGATCTGAATGTTAGCAAGGCCGGGATCTCAACTTCTCTCATGGCCTTGAGTTAAGTCATTTTCCCTCTGGAAAGATACCTTTCACTGTTACCCAATACTGGGGAAGGCTCTAAAGAGTAAAAAAATCTGATTCAGCGTTTAAACTGCTCCTCCGCCATGACTGGGATACAGATATATACTTGCATTCAAATATACTTGCACAAGGGAATAAAAAACAAATTGGGAGAGAATTTATAATAGTGGAGAAGGGTCTAATTTGCACAGTCTTAGTGTGGGAGAGGAAGATTGATTTGGAAGACATTGTGGTATCCCACTTTGCTGTGTCCTAACGAGGTACTCCTTTGACAGAATGTAAATGAAGTGAGAGACTTATTTCCTCCACCTCACCATAAAACTCCATGCAACTTTGGCATCTTGAGGACTCCAAGTGGGAGCTCAAGGGAAACATAAAAGTAGTCAGCAGCAGTGACAGTGCCCAGCAAAATTCTGTTCTAAAGGCAATGGAGTGGAATGTCAGAATGGATAAATGAGTGGTCAGTATGATAAAAGAATAATCCATGTTTTCCTGACTCTGGTCTCTAACCCTTGCAAAGCATTCTTTTTCTGAGAGTTCTGGACAGTACCTCACAGGTAGGAACAAAAAATATAGTTAGAAAGCATATTATGTCTACAATTTTCTCCTTTTGTCCGCTAGTAGGCTTTTATAGACACTGCCCCAACCCCAACTCCTGAAATGAACACATAGATAAGAACCCTAATGGGAACAAAGATCATCCATTGGCATTGGAATGAATATCAGGATTTCTAGACCTTGATTGAAATGGCCACATTCTCATGATCTAAAGTTCAAAACATATGAACCATGTGGGAAAGCCAAATTGATCTGGAAAGACAGATGTGGGGTGAAAACTGACCCAAATAGAAATGGGATTGTAAGGATTTGGAGCTGCAGTTCTTAAGTATATGGAGCCAAATGAAGATAGATTAATATACAGAAATAATTGCTTTGTGCTATTAATTTTGAGGGATTTTGTTGTGTAATATTTGGCTTACTGATCTGTTCAGCCTTCAAGACCATAGTTATGTCTTTGTTTCTGACACCAGGAGGAGGAGATTATGTATCCTTGAATGCAGCTCTCTGAAGAGTCCCAGAAGTCTGCTGCTATTGCTGCTGCTGCTGCTGCTCTCACTTGGCCTTGCTACTGAGGATTCTTCTCCTATTCTGGGCCCTCCAGACTCTAACTTTTCCCCTTTACCCAAACTCTGTCATAGTGACTGTTTGAGTTGATAGAATATTGATGGTATGTTATTTCTAGGGCATGGATAATTCAGATATGTGGAAAACTTGAGGAAACTCATATTCAGAAGCATATAATATTGAAAATATAAATAAAGATAAATAAAGCCTATTTTGATTTAAGCATTATGAAATGTATGTATGTATGGAACATTATATGGTACCCCATAAATATGTAAAATTTTAAGTTTGTAATGTAAAGAATATGTTAAAAAACATGTCAGCCATTCATTCATTGGACATTTATTGAACAACTAATGTATATGATACATTATGGTAGTCTATCATAAGTGTTTATTGACTATATACATAGCTAAATGAGCACCTAAAAACAAGTGTGTGCTGTTTCTCTTCAGATGCCTTGAAAATAATAAAACTGATTTGGGTAGTGGTATGGCTTGAATGTTTCTCCCAAAGTTTATGTGTTGGAAACTTAATCCTCAAATTCATATTTGGAGGTGGGACCTTAAACTTAATCCTCAAATTCATATTTGGAGGTGGGACCTTAGGGAAGTACTAAGCTTAGATGAGGTCATGAGGCTGTGGCTCTTACCAGGGCATTAGTGGCTTTATAAGAAGGGAAAGAGAGATTTGAATTAGCATTCTTGCTTGGTCTCACCACATGATGCTATCCACCATGTTATGATGCAGCAAGAAATCACTTACCAGACATTGGCACTATACTCTTAAACTTTCCAGACTTCAGAACTAAGAGCTAAATAAACCTCTATTCTTAAAATTACCTGGTCTGTGGTATTCAGTTATAGCAACAGTAAATGGTCTAAGACAGGTATTTCCCTTTGGTATATATTCTTCTTCCCCTAGCTCCTCCCCTTACATGCAGAATTCTTGTGGATAATAGACCCAAGTATGGTTGGCAGATGCTAATGATGTCTGAAGTGTGTGCTTGGGGATGTTTTTGCCTATTTTTCCATATAAATGGAATGTAGAAGTTGACAGTGTGGAAATGTAACAGTGGTCCACTTTATGCTTTGAATATAGCTTTTGCTGCTCTACCACTGCAATTTACTGTTAAAATGGACATGTTTCTTTCTCTTCCTCTCTCCCTGTTCCTCCCTAATCTCTCCCCCTCCTTAATCTCAGGTGAAACCAGAGTACCTTTCTTCCCCATCCTAGGCAGAGTTATCTGTCCCTGAGTACACACTCACCATAGGAATGAAGTAATCCAGACTTTGGGGATGGCACCAGAAGATCTCAGAAATGACTATCTCCCAAATTAACAAGTGAATTACAACTCCAGCAGAGAACATGTGGAATGTAGCCTTTAAATCACCTCTTTAAAAGCCTCCTGGTTCTTGCTGATGGGCAAAATCACAGCCTCTGGGACAGGAGTCCCCTGTGTTTCTCTTTGCTAGAAAAGCAATACAACTTCTTTTTCCTTTTTCTCAGGAAAAAAAACCAACTTAATAGATCAAGGAACTATTTAAATCAGTGATTCACAACCTTGACAACACAATATAATCACTTATATAGATTTTAAAATCCTGATACACAGGTTATTTACCAGACCAGTTGGAAATCTTGGGGTAAGCCTTAGGCATCAGTATTGTTTATAACTCCACAGATAATTCCAATGTAAAGTGAAACTGGAAATTATTGATCACAAAAATCTTATTTGGCTAAGAACAAACCCTTCTCACCTATTTCAACCAGTTTGTCTTACAAGGAAAGGTCAAAAGAAATGCAATATAAAGAACTTTGGGCCATGGTTAAGAAAGAAGAGCTTAATATGACCTCCTAAACACTTATAAAAAAAAGTAAAGTGTGATCAAAGGCTTTCCTCTAGTCTCTATTTTGGCAGATCCAGCCTCTTCTGAATGCCTGAGTATGTATTTCAATATAAAGTGTCACTTGTTTTATTCAGTAAGGAACCTAATGGTCATTGGAAGAGGCCCGAATGTTGCTAAGTGAACCTTAAAAGGTGACTTATCAAGGCCTAACTATATAAGAGAGTAAAGCCAATTGAATGCCCAAATAAAACCATTATTCTCAGACAGCAGTTTGAGTTGAGTCTGTGTTACTAGGACCAGCCAGCTGGAGTTTTGAGTTCTGGACATAGTAAAGTAAAGCTAAGAGATGTTTTCTGAAGAATGAGGATTAAAATGGGATGAACATGAGATTAATTGTATCTTTAGTAGAAGCGAATCACACTCTGAATCTAACTCCTCCTATTGACTCAGGCAGAATTTACTGTGGCATATTGTTCATGACATATAGGTAACATGGGTACATAGAACCACATTAACTCTTTCTGGTTACTAAAGAACATGATATTGAATTGCCAATCTAATGAAGAAGGCATTATAGATTCTCAATTTTCTCTGCTTTCTTACCTGGCAAAAGGCTGATGGAGCACCTGGGGTTGTGGCTCAGTGGTAGAGCACTTGCCTAGCATGTGTGAGGCACTGGGTTCAATTCTCAGCACCACATAAAAATAAATAAATAAAATAAAGGTATTGTGTCCATCTACAACTAAAAATATTTAAAAACAAGGCTCATGGATTTCCATACATTAATGCAGAGTAAAGAATGGAGAATGCAGAAAACACAGATATCCCATGTTCCCTAGGTTAAGGTTTGATTAAAGGCTGATGAAATGTTGTCTATAGAATTGACTCTGAAGGACTGATTAGGGAAGAAGTGACCAGGACCAGGGGTGTTCTACAGCTGATTTGCACTAGTTCACTGGCTCTGATTATGAGAATCTCCTAATTTTGCATTCAGTGACATCACATTGATATCATCAAATCAGCCATGGTAGTAATGTTTACACCACAGAAATTGGCAAATGCTGTGAATCAATACCCTCCTTGAGAAAGCTGGCTATTAAATATTTACCAAAAAACTAGGCCTTGAAATACAACCAAACAAGCTGGGTCTGAGAGATGCATGGTGAATGAATGAGGAATGTTTTCCTTATAGAAGAGAAGACTTGGGTGGATATAATTGCTGTCTATGAGGTGAGAGCTCAGGTACTCTCTTTATTTATCTAAAAGAAAAATCAGAACCACTGTGCACATGTGCATGTGGCAGGGAGGATTCCATGGAAGTTGGATTCAACTGAACATTTAAAACATATTAATGTTCCATAATATTCAAAAGTGAAAATCTGTCTTAGAAAGCAGTGAACTTTCCCATCACTGAAAGTAAGCAAACAGCTTGAAGGATCTCTAGGAAATTGTATTACAGAGAAATTTCAAGTATTAGATAATAGACTGGACTGGACTATATGAACTCTATGGTCTCTTCTCACCCTAAGTTATTTTTCATTTCCTTGAAAAATAATTGATGAATTTAGAAGATTTTAAAGTGGTCTTATCATTGCTATGGATTCAAAAGCAGTGTGAGGGAAAATACTTTGGAATAACTAAAGGGTGGATTTTCACCCCATTCGTACCATCTTCCTTCAAATTGGGCTTAATTTCTCCCCATTTACACTATAGTAGCAAATAATGACAACATAGGCAGATAAAAAGTGTCTGTATATGCCATTTTAAAAATTCTTGTCTCTCTGGTACAGATGGGTATTGTTAAAGAGAATCTTTCCTCTGACTGGTTGATTATTTGTACCTTAGAAGAGAGCCTAAAAATACATTTTTATCAAGTGGCTTTGAATCCTAAAATGTCACCCCAAAGGGTTTCCTTTCAAAAAAACTCATTAAATTAATCAGGCTATAGAAATTATTTTACTATATAAAGAAGAGTAGTTATATGTTTACATTGATGGAAACTATTCCATACAGTCTGCTCACATGTAGAAGTCATAAAAATAAATATGAAAGAAACAGAAGAGTTTTGGTATATTAAATGTCTTTTTGTAGAAGCTTCTTGTGATTCTCTTTAGTCCACTGACTGCTTTTACTAGGCCCATGATTTCTTTATGTTAGAAGATACACAGATTAGTAATGGTTTCTATGGTTTGGACAATTATCTACCTGCATGGGATATTTGAGGTATTCTCAGGGTGAAGGCAGCAGATAAGCTGACTTCTCAAGTGCCTCCTTTCTTTACTCCCATCCACATGGTTGTTGATAGAATGAAGTGAACACACATTCTCCATTTTCTCTCTCTCTCTTTCCCTGCCCCTATGTATGTATGTATGT